GTTGGAAGGGGTCTTGGAGGTCTTCTAGTCCAACCCCCTGCTTAGACAGAAAACTTTATATCATTTCAGACAAATGGTTGTCCAATCTCTTCTGAAAAACTTCCAGCGTTGGAGCATTTACAACTTCTGGAGGCAAGCTGTTCCACTGATCAATTGTTCTCACTGCCAGGAAATTTCTCCTTAGTTCCAAAGTGACTTCTCTCCTTGATTAGTTTCCACCCATTGCTTCTTGCCCTTCCTTCAGATGCTTTGGTGGGACTTATTCTGGGTCCCACCAATGCCCTCTTAGGAGACCCAGGAGGTGGCCTTCCCTGTCATGGCCTTGCAGCAACTCCCTTGGCAATCAATATGGCTCCATCTTGTGTACCTTCTGTGATCTTTGAAAATCTGGTTCATTACCCAAGCTTGCTTCCGGGCCACGTCCAAGTCCCCTTTTATAGTGGGCATAGTGTATAGCTTGGGGGAGCGGTGCAGTGGTCTAGAAGTGGAGTGGTCACCTCACAATCAGGAGGCTGTGAGTTGGATCCTAGTTAGAGGGAGATATTTCTCTCCCTGGACATGATGAGAATATATCTGCTTAACAAAACTCTGCATTGGAAGGGCATCCGGCCAGTAAACACTCCACTAGCTCCATTCAGTTGCTCAGACTCAACCCCACAACAGAGTATGGGGTCATTAAAAGATGATGATAATATATAGTTTGGGGCTTTTTTGTGGTCTCTCTCTCCATACACTTGTTGCGTTATGTGCTGTGTGGTGTGTTAGTTTTGGTATATTACTGTGTTTTAATTTTAGGAAGCTACTCAGAACAGTTCTAGATATGGGCAGCCAAGAGATCTGACTAGTAGAAAGCCATTTTAAGAACTGCAACCCTCAAGTCCCACAGGGTGCAGTAACCAGGATCTATGGGATTTGAGAACTGAGAGTAACAGGATACAAAAGGCTCAACTTTAAGCCCATAGAAAGCCTTCTTCTAGCTATCATTTCGTAGGTATAAGGATATATTTGTTCCCAACACTGACATTTCTTACAGAGCAGGGCAACACACTGATAATCCAACACATTCCAGAAATGGAACTAATGCAACTTGTTTCTTGTGTTTTAACAAGAAATGATCTGGGCAGAATTCCTAAGGCAGCTCATCACAAAAGCAACGCCGGGGCCAAGGAACAGCCGTTTGCCATGACTTGTTGCAATTGCAGGAAGAACCTCCCTCTTCCAAGGCCAGCCCAACTTGGAAGAGGATTCCAGCTGTTTCAACTGTTTATCCAAGGAGGGCAGAAGGAAGAGCGTTTTTGCTCTCCAAATGGGAATGGTGAACGTTGACTCTTGTGGCCATCCTTCTCAATGAGCAGCTTTGCAGGACCCTCTTCTTACAAGGCTGAGGGACAAAGATCCATGGAATTCTCCCTTGAAGGATTCACCACGCGTAAAAGCAACTGCTTCTTTACATGTTAACAACATGCTACCCCAAGAGAATCAAGTGCCACCTCTATAAGGGCAGGGATAATGCTACACCTGGAAATGCAAGTGCAGCTGGGCACCTTCTGGAGTACTTCAGCTCCCAGAATTCCTGAGCCACCATGATCACCATTAAATGACCTGTAGTCCAGATTAACAGATTAAAAGAGTTGGAAGGGACCTTGTAGGTCATCTATTCCAACCTCCCACCCAAGCAGGAGACCTTACACTGTTTCTGACAAAGGGCAGCCCAGTCTCTTTTGGAAAGCTTCCAGTGATGAAGCTCTGACAACTTCTGAAGGCAACTTCTGTTCCATTAGTTGACTGTTCTCACTGTCAGAAAGTTTCTCCTTATTTCCAGGTTGAATCTCTTCTTGTTCAGTTTCCATCTTTTCTGGCCTATAGGTGCTTTGGAAAATAGCTTGACCCCCTACTCTCTGTGGCAGCCCCTCAAATATTTGAACCCTGCTCTCCTGTCTCCCCTGGTCCTTCTCTTCACTAGACTAGCCATGGCCAATTCCTGCAACTGTTCATTGTATATTTTAGCCTCCAGTCCCCTAATCATCCTGTTTGCTCTTCTCTGCACTCTTTCCAGAGTCTCAACATCCTTTTTTATAGTGCGGTGACCAAACATTGTGGGAGGTTCTCCAGGCAGCTTACATTTATGCAGCTGAAAGTTCTCACGTGCTTAGTCTTGAGAAACCATGCTGATTTACAGCCTAACTCCCTCCTAGTCACAGTCACCCAATGCAGCTAGTTCTCAACTTACAAGTTCACTTAGAGACCTTTCCAAGTTACAACAGCGCTGAAAAAAGTGACATATGGCGTTTTTTTTCAGACTTCTGACCATTGTAGCATCTGCAGTCATGTGATTTACATTCAGATGCTTGACAACTGACTCACATTTATGATGGTTGCAGTGTCCCAGGGTCACATGATCACCATTTGCGACTTTCTGACCAGCAAAAGCAACAGGGAAACCAGAATCACTTAAACGGGTTACTAGTTTAACTGCAGTGATTCATTTAACAAGGGTCATCAAATGAGACCAAACTCACATAATGAAGTCCTAACTTAGCAACCTAAATTTTGGGCTCAATTACAGCCATAACTTCTCATCTGATGACCGTTTGCCAGTATTATCTAAGCAGCAACTACTTCCCGGCAACTCAAGCAAATAAATGGTGACCACACCAGTTTGAAAAATCCAACTACACCCTTTATGCTAGCAAGATCCCAGAGGAATCATTCAGCTGCAATTAAAACAGCCTCCTCTGACAAAACAAAACAAAAAGTTGGAAAGACAGGCTTTCTAATCTGATTTTTAGAAGAGTTCCAGGCTATTTAAAAACATGACTATGAGATTCACACTTGTACCTGCTCTTCTTTGTCTTCAAACTTTATTCAGCTGATGCAATGAATTTCAGTCCAGAAAAACCTCTGCAAAGCGTAACAGGTTCACAGTTTATTCCTCTCAAATGAGTATGTTAAAATTCTGCTGTTAAAGAACATTGCATACTACTGTTGGCAGAAAGTACACACAGTTTTAGCCTATCTTGGAAAAGCTAATAGGACCCAGACAGTTGTAAGCTGAACGGGGCACCACCAGGAAATGCTAGATACAGGCAGGCAGGGGGGAATGAAAAACAGTGGAAGAAAATAACAGCAAATCATTTCCTATTTGTTCCCAAGAAAACTACAGAGACAAACTGAATACAACTCAAGGGAAACCTGGTTATTTGCATGCAAACAGTTGCTGGTGTTTGGAAGGCAATGGAATCCTATTGACTTTTCCTTTTTATACAAGATGCTAACCTTGAACAGTGCTGAGTAGTTTGAGGCTCAGCTACTGACTGAATGCTTTGTGTGAACAGGCCCATAGTTTTAAGATAGTCAACAGTCATGCAAACCTACCACTACATTTTGTTAATTCAAGTTTACTGTGCTGTGGGAATATTTTCAGCCTTCCCTTCCTGTGTTCTACCCTATGAAACAGATAAAGATGACCGAATACTACAAGAAAACTTAAGTCATTTAACTCTAGTGCCTAGTTCAGGAAATTTTTATTTTAGGAAAATCAACTTGTGGGGTCCTCTCTGTGCTTGGCTGTTTTCTTGCAGACATCTCATTTCCCAACTAAGTAACATCGGTGCTGGAAAGGGGTGGGATTTGCTCTCTTTCTAAATGTATATGTAAAGACAGCAAACCCCTCTCCCTTCCAGCACTGAGAATGTTACTTAGCTGGGTAATGAAATACCTGCAAGGAAACAACCAAGCACAGACAGCACTAAGGATCCCACAGTTCAATAGTGACTTCTGTTGGTAAAATCCACCCATCTCATATGCTGTCATTCAACAGAGTGAACAGATCAATGTAAGTCAGCCCAGCTGCACTTTTCAAAGCTAAAACAGGAGTCAGTGTTTCTCAGCCTACCAACTTTTAAGATGTGTGGATTCAACTCCCAGAATTAAGGAGTCTTAACCACATCTTATGTTGCCCCAAAGGCTGAGAAACACAGACCTAAACACCCATCACCTCAAAAATCAGGCAATCCAAAATAACACAGTCATATTGCTTCAGAAGCAGGTGAATTTGCTTGAACATTTTGTGCAACTTTTAGCAAACTTTTAAGTCTTAGAATAACCTTTGAAAGCAACAGGCTTTCAAAAGGCAATTGTGTCTCTCCAGCTAGCCAAGAACAGGACATTAAAAGGAAGGGAGCTGGTTCTCTTCCTCCATCTCTTCAAAGAGAGAGAAGGAGAGAAAAGGGGGGGGGGGACATTTATCAAAACCACAAAACAATCCGGGAGCTGAATTCAGGTTTTTAGGAATAGAGAACGCATTTTGTCACAAACTTTGCTGGCTCATCCGGGGATCCCTCATAATTCATGCTAGGAAATTTGTGGTCCTCAAAACCTAGCTGATCAAGAGAAAGCTCTCCTCCCATATATATATTTTTTTTTAAAAAGGAAAGCCTCAATTGTTCATTTCTTCCTATATCGCCAAATTTCTGATGAGGCTAAATTTAACCGCTAAGCAAGGAAGGAAAGCAGGCAAGGCAGGCAACTCGTGCCCATCCTAGTGTCCATGGGCAAAAGAATAGGGGGAGGGGAAAAAAATGAAAATAAGATAGGATGCCCAACTGCAAAAGTCATCTTTTTTTGGTGGGGGGGGGGAATAGAGTCAGAAGCTCAAGTCGGAGGAGTTTGGAGGGGGGCAAAACTTTTGAAAGTTTTTCATAACTTCTCTTGTTGAAAGAATGGGGCAGACGGGGGGGGGGGGTTGGGGTTGTTTTGGCCCGGAAACCCCCCCCCCAATTCTACTTGGTCTTTCCCCCCTCCCAACAATAACCCTGCGAGGTCGACTCCGCAAAAGGCGCATCGGACCCACCTCTCGACTCCCTTTCCCATCCTCCCCAGCCAATCCAACCGCCCTCGTTTCTTCCCCCCACCCCCAACCTCGTCCCGCCGATGGGAGCAACCACTCGTTCAACGACCGACGGGGCGGGCGTAAAAAAAAAAAGCGCGACGTCTCTCACCTGGGCGGGGTGTGTGTGTGGAGCCCTTTCAAACGCTGCCCCGAGCCGAGACCCGCCCCCCCACCCCACCGAGCCGGGAAAGGAATAAGAGGGCTGCTTTGAAGCACGGACGGCGACCCCTCAACCGCTTCCTCGTAAACGGGCTCCACCAACGGCTGCTCACGAAGCGCAACGGCCAACTCGCAACCCGCGCGTCCCCGCACGTCTCTCCTCAGTCCAGCGCCGCGGGAGGAGTATTTATAGAGGCAGGGTCCGGCGGGCCACGCCCTGCCCCTCCGAGGGGGCGTTCCCTCGGCCACGCCCCCTCCCTTTCGCCTCTGCCCCGCCTGACGGGCTGGACCACCCGCGCGCCGCTCCTCAGGCTCCTCCCCCCCCCCACCGAAAAGGGAGCCCGGGAAGGCGGCCGCGGCTCCCTGAGGGGAAGGCGCTGTCTCCCCGGGGCGATGGAGGAGGGGGGCCGGGAGAGGGGAGCCAGACGAAGAGGGTCGGTGGGGCGTTGAAGGAGATTTTTTTTTTTTTCCGAACGAAGCGAGAAACGGCGCAACGGCGGCAGCGCCAGCTTTTCCGGACTGGCGGCATTCCCCAACATTTAGCGCCCTCCGGATACAGGAAGGCGAACGCCCCTAATTATCGACTGGCTGGAAAAGAACGGGAAGCTTCCTTTAAGACTCAAAAAGTAAACACGAGCGAGATAGGATAGGATAGGATAGGATAGGATAGGTAATCATGTCATGTGTGTGTACACACACAAACACTTATATGCACACACACAGATATGTCTCGTCAGATATTCTATATCTCTGATAGACATCTATAGATACATTTGTGTGTGTTTATGTATACACACACTATCTATCTAGACACACAAAACCATACGATGTATCTATAGATGTCTATCGGATAGACATTCTGATAGACGTATAGATACATCATATGTTTGTGTGTATATACACACAAACATGCTCTATAACAACACATTCTGTATCTCTGATGGATATACAGATATATTTTGTGTATCACACACAAGTCTATCAGACATTCTGATATAGATATATAGATATATAGATATATTGTGTGCGTTTGTGTATATTACACACAAACATACTCTATAACAAATCAGATAAACACATTCTATATCTCTGATAGACATATATAGATACATTTGTGTTTGTATACACATACTGTGTGTATATATATATATATTTCTTGGATGGATGAATGGGTGGGTGGATGGATGGATGGATAGATAGATAGATAGATAGATAGATAGATAGATAGATAGATAGAT